CAATTTTCGCCTGCTCGTCTTCAGTCTTTTAGACACGTTTTTCAGATAGCTCCAAAATCGATTTTTGGGGCTGTTTGTACAACAGCTGTATTTTCATAACGAATCAACATTCAGAGCCAAGACACTTTTCATTTTCTAAGAAATGTTTAATCTACTTAATTATCTAGTTGCAATTTTAGATTAGTTAGCAGCTTTACTGCAATAATCTTTTCAAAAAGAGCGAAAAATGGAGACCGTTAGCTAGACAAGCCGTTGGAGAAGAAGAATGTCTCTAGCCTGTGTCATCTCAAACATTTGCTTTTGAGTCTCATCTCAGACGACTAGACAGATGAAGTAAGCAGCTGTTATGCCACGCACCACAGTCCTGCCATAAGGGAGAAGATCATAGTTAAGGTTATTGCGCAAGCATATAGTCTAAGTAATTGCGCAAGAATACTCACTCAATGCTATGATGCAAGAATATGTTCAAGGTTATTGTGTAGAGTCTACTCAAGGTTATCGCGCAATATTTCGTATATAAATAGATGAATTTTATTGTTAAGGAAGATATCTTTTTTATTTGTAAATGAACGTTAGGTGAGAGAGATCTTAGTTCATCCGTGAACCTGACAGCAGTTGCTTCGAAATATCTTCATCTTCATGGTGGATTCTCCGATCTTCGGAGTAATACTTTTAATTCTTCAGCGATTGGTCAAGTCAAAACGTTAATTCTATAGTTTCTATAGTTTTACTGAGAATTTCACGGCGCATCTTATGGTAAAAAGAATTCTAAAAAGGTTGAGTCTGTATGGAGAAGAACAGAAAACAAAAAGACACCCATTACATCTGGATCATCCGATATTGGGATAGACAGGTTTTCCATGTGGAAAACAGTTTTTTAGGTTTCGAGAAAGCAAATGTTCCAGTTTGAGATTTTGTTTACTCGTGTGCTTGCTTACCTTTTCTATAACAAGTAGTGTTGAAAGCGGATGGAAAATACGTAATCGAACACGCCGAATCTGCTAGCAATGTTTGTTTTGTGAAGAGAACTCAAAAATCGATGAAAACCGAGTTTTATCAAAATTGGGGTTTCCAGGCTGTTTTCACTTAGTATTAAACCCTTCATCATTCAACATTCACCGAAAAACACTAAAGCGGCTTGAATGTTTCTAAAAATAACCACGAACATTCTTTTTTGGCGACGATAGTAGTCTAACGGGTGACGCAAAAAGAAATATAGTCTCAGTATCTGAGTAGCTGTCTAATTCGAGTTCGAATATAACCACGATTTTACGAACACTTTAGTGCGGAAGTTTCAAAGAAACCAAAAAAAATTTCATCAAAGTTCGAATTCCGATAGAAACTTTAGTGTAAAAGTGGACAACAAAAAAAAATTATAACAAATTTAGTGACTCACTCTCACCCACACGAAATTTTTTTTCTAAACTTTTTCAGTAAAGTGTCTATCGCAATTCGAGTTCGAATTCTGCTGAAAATGTTTTGTTTTTCTAAACTTTTACAGTAAAGAATCTATCGGAATTATTTTCGAACTAGGATTAGATTCTTGTTTCGTGAATTAAATTCGAATTAGGCAACTCATGGAATCTGAACCTTTAACTTCGAGGTAAGTACACAGCAATTTGAGACGAAGGAAGAGGGAGAGTTAAATCGTCCGTCGTTTTTTTGTCACAAAACTGAACTATCTTTCTCATTCACAGTTTTGAAAAGTCTTTCTTCTCAGATCTAATGTACCGACTCTAAGGTCCTTTCCCCGTTGTGTAGGCTCAGCTGAAGATGTTGACTGTGCAAGATCTCCACATAAAAACGCACAAAAGTGAGACATGCACCATCAAATGGTTGATGTGTATCATCACAATTGTGAGTTTCCTCGGTGTAAGATTGCTTTGCCGTTGACGGCTTTCAGGATGTATCATGTTCAGCAAGTATCAGTTTGATCCTGTTTCATGCATAGATAATTGGGTGCCAAGCTATACCACCTCATTCACAGGATGCTAGATTGGCTATAGCAACGAACTGATATTAGCGTCTAGTATTTACGGATACGCTTCTCCGGAGGTCCAAGCGTGAATGTTTTCTTCACATGCGGTAAACGTTACCTTATCGGTAAAACTCACAGGCGAACCTTAAAAGACATCAACCTTTCTCACTTTTATTTTGAGATCAAATTCCAGTCACATGTCGAATCCAAACTGAGAAATACAACGCAGAGCGAACTTAGTCAACCTGACGCGAAAATTTTTCTCGAACAAACACATCACAGATTATCGAAGAATTACACTCAACAGTGTAACAAAAGATAACATGATGATTTTAGAGGGCGGAGGGAATAGTAGAAAGTCAAAATTTCTGTGTACTCACTTTGAACTGTCATGAGCTTTTCATTGAAAATGACTTCTATTCCTTTGTAGATAAAGGTTACAGCATGGTGAAAGTGTCAGATGGTCAGAACGACTAAAAAAACTGATTCCATCATGTTTTCGAAGAAAAGTCCGAGTAAAACATGGTGTAATCAAGTCCAGAAAACGAAGCTAGAGCTATTAACAGCAATCAACAGACGAAAATGTTGAGCAATAGCCTTGGAAACGTCACTAAACATATGCGTTGTCCGGACATCTATTGAGTTAGAACCCAAGTGCAAAAGTCCGAACAAGAGGGGATCTAAAAAATATTTCACCCTGCCGAACATCGCCAGTAGACCATGCCCTAGTAGACTCACCAGGGGGATTGATAATAAATGAAAGAGCATCAGCATTTCCATCATTGTTTGTTCCATATATCGTCACATCCGATGTTCGTGTCAATATTAAATATACATTTATATAACGTGTTAATACTTTGATTGTACCAACTGTTTCACGATAAATCAGTGATGTTTGAAAATTCCTATCAGACGCAGAAACTGGCCCAATTTGCTGGTTATCTATTATATTATAATCGTTATCCATAAAATCAACACTGACAAGTGCATTATCCTCTTGAGCATCAACACCACCCAGATATGCAGACAAAGTAAAAGATAACGATTGCCCATCGATATGCATTGAATAAGCTGTCAAATTAATAAACTGTGACATGTTGCATATGCCACTATCCACTTGACCACCCATTTGTTCTCCATTTCCTCCAAAATAATAGCAATAGCCACGATCCCTAAACAATAACAGCATTTTTGTGAAGCTCATTCCTATATAATCGAGGGCTGTCACATTATCATTACACAGTATAATCATAACTTTCTATCCTAAGTTTGGAATTCTCGATACTCTACAATACATAGAACTACAATTACGCAAACATTCCATGAATTTCAAAATATTTAGAATTTCAGAATTTCAGAATCTCACACATTTACCGCATGACTATACATGAATACGAAAACATTTAGAATTTCAGAATGTCAGGAGTCCAGAGTGCCACTCTCCTTGGAATTAAGAAATATCTAGAATTTCAGAATCCAAGAACTTCAGTGCATGACTACTCACCGAGTTCCCAAACATTTACAATTTCAAAATCTCAGACAATTACCGTATAATGAATGATACACTGAATAAGAAAACATTTAATATTTCAGAATTTCAGCATCTCAGAAGTTCACAGTATGACTACCCCTAGCATCCCGAAATATCTAGAATTTCAGAATCTAAAAACTTTATCCTATCAATAGGCAATGAATTCCCAATCACTTAGAATTTCAGAGTACCACTATTTCAGGAAATCCAAAATATGTAGATTTCAAAAGTTCAGACTATCATTATTCTTTGAATTCCAAAATATGTGCAGCTTCAGAAGTTCAGCAGTGTAGACGATCACTATTCTTTGAATTGCAAAATGTGTAGACTTTGAGAATCTCAGCAGTTCAGAATTTCAGAAGTTTAGCCCAAAGCTGTTTACTCAGTTGGGAAACATTTAGAATTTCAGAACCTCAGAGGATCACTATTCTTTGAACTGCTCAATATGTAGAATTTCAATATTTCACAAGCTCCGAATCTCAGGAGTCTAGCGCTTAACCATTCGCTCAATTGGGAAACATTTAGAATTTCAGCTCTCAGCAGTTCAGAGCATCAATATTCTTTGAACTCCGAAATTTGCAGAATTTCACATTTCCAGAATGTCTAACGGTCAGAGTATCACTATTCTTTAAATTGTACAATATGCAGAATTTCCATATTTCACAATCTCAGAATCTCAATCGTTTAGCGCATAACTAATCACTGGATTGAGAAACATTTAGAATTTCGGAATTTCAGAATCTTAGGGTGTCAGAGTATTGCTATTCTTTAAATTCGAAAGTATGTTGAATTTGGGAATTTCAGAATCTCCGGATTTCATAGTATCATTATTTCTCTAATTCGAAAATATGTAGAATTTCAGAGTTTCAGAATTGCAGAATCTCAGAGGTTTGGCGTACCACCATGGTTTGAATTCCAAAATATGTAGAATTTCTGAATATCAGAGGGTCAGAGTATCGGTCTTTGCTGATGTTCCCAAAATCTAGAATTTCAGAATCTCATAATCTCAAGAGTTTAGTCTATAACTACTCACTAAATTCCAAACTTTTAGAATTTCTGAAGTTTAGAGTATCACTATCGTTTGAGTTCCGAAATAGCTAGAACTTCACAATTTCAGAATCTCAGTATTTCAGAGTATCACTATTCTTTGAATTCCAAAATATGTAGAGTTTCAGAATGTTAGAATGTCTGAAGTTTAGACTATCACCATTGTTGGAATTCCGAAAGGTGTAGAATTTCTGAATTGCAGAAGGCGAGAAGGTCGAAGTGTCAGTATTTTTGGATGTCCGAAATATCTAGAATTTCAGAATTTCATAATGTCAGGAGTTCAGCGCATAACTACTCACTGAATGTTTAATCAGTTAGAATTTCAGATTTCAGAATTGCGGAGTGTTATTATCGTTGGAATTCGACACTTTCTAGAATTTCGTAAGCTCAGTAGATAAGAATTTTAAAAGTATTTAGGTGGCACGTTCTGATAGTAGCGGTTCTGAAAGTCTGCTTGCTTTGAAATTTAGATCATGTTAATATTCACAATTGCGAAAATTGTACAGTTGTGACTATCCTGTGATTTTGAAGTTCTGAAATTCTGACTTTCTACAGATTTTAGAATTCTGAAATTCCTGAGATTCTCAAGTTATGAGTTTCTGAAATTGTGAACGTCTGGAATTCTGAAATCCTGAATTCTCGAGATTCTGGAATTGCGAACTTCTTCAGATTCTGAAATTCTAGAAATTGTAAAGTTGTGACCATCTTGAGATTTTGGAATTCTGAAATTCCTGGGATCCTGAAATTCTGACTTTCTGGAGATTTTAGAATTCTCAAATTCTTGAGATTCTCAAATTCTAGAAATTAAGAGAGGAGGGCGGTCAACTTGATCGGAAAACGGCTCCGTGTTTTTTTGCTCATTTTGACTTGACTTTTGTAGAAAAGACATTTGTACACATTTTCCAGTTGTTCTTATGGAAGATAAACTCAAAATACGTTTATAACGTTGATTATTTTGAGATTCCATCAGAGGGCATCGTTGTTAGAAAAAATAATATTTTTGAAAAATTCAGCATAGGTTTCACACAACCCTCGATATGAAAAAATAGCCAGTGAAAAACTGAATAAAATACTCTATGAACAATCCTTATACATCATTTCAATAGGAAGAAATTATTTTTACAAGAGATACTTTGACCTAAAAGACGGTATCAGAGGTGTTTTAAGTACTTTTCTCTCCATATGCAAACAAGGATCCAACTTGTATTTGGTAGAAGACACTTTAGGCTATCTGCCTATGGAAAAAATCGGTAAATTGCTATTTTCGTTTCGGAAAATCCGAGCTGATTTTCCTCAGATCTTCGTGGAAACCAGTGCTCAGAATCTTTTCCAAACTAACTTTTGCTTGTGAAAAGTTAGTCTCAAGTATCTTCTGTCGATTGCTGAAAGCTGCAGGTCTCTATCGCTTTTCTATCAAAAGTTATTCAAAAATTAACACCGGCCCTGCTTTTTGGAACCGATAGTAGAATGATATCACAGAATGAATTTACTCTTAGACACCGGAGAGAAATAGTACAATAGGGTTTCCACCTTAGGACTCAAAGGTCTACGCTGACATGCTTTTTTTCTTTTTGTGACTAACTAAATTTTGAAAAAAAGTAGTTTCTTCAGAAATATTCTCGACACCCATCTTTGGAGGCAAAAACATGGCAGATTTGCGTTGTTTCAGCTTCTGTTAGAGCCTGGAGTAGTTCTATCAAGAGAAAGCTGCACTTCGCCTTCCCCTTGACATCTTTTCTGCTATATGTACTTAAGGGTCTCCCTAATAAGTGTTGATACTCAACTCTTCGGAAGCCATCCACTACTGAATCGATAAATATTGATTTTATTCGTTTGGTTTCAATTTTCGTTAAGCTTTCTGGTAGGAGATGTGTGATTTAATAAGTTACTTGGTTGCTAGCTATAAACATCTAAAACAGGCCGGAATTTTAATTTATTCCAACTTTCCAGAAACGGACTTTATATTGAGATGAACTGTGACTGATAATGGTACTAAAAGCGAAAGATTACTTACTGAGGTCCTGGTGTTTGTAAAGTTTGATCAAGATTTGCACTGTAAAATACTTGATTTATTTTTCCTTGAACTGTCCATTTATCACCTGGTGGAGGTGCAGTATCGTCAGCGTTTGTTGCACATTGGATGGATTCAGCGTCTGGGCTTACCAATAAATTGACTCCATATTCTTAACAAAGCAAAATAACAGTAATCGACGTTCTCCGCTTCCTGACTAGCAAGTTCACGAGAAACAATGAATTTAACAGAAATTTAAACAGCAACAAATAATGTCATGTCCAAAGATTTCGCTGGCGATTGCGTTAGTGGAAAAGTGGCTTTGAAAATTACATACCTCCATTGTCTGCGTTTGAACCTTCTACGGGAACTAAAGTTGAGGTTATTTGTGGAGTTGCTGGACCTCCGATATCAATCGAAACTATTAAATACAAAAAGACACCAACTCTACATTTTCTTTTGAGTTATTCGCTTAAAAACTGATAAAACTTTCTTTGGTACGGCCATCCTTTCCAACCACCAGCCTTCAAACCACCAATTTGCATAAAGTTTCAAGACAAGTCTTACGCTCAAGAGAGCATTTCTGGGAGCATGGAGAAACGCCATAACATGGTAAGATTTTATTTCTAAAACCCCTTTCATCGTGCTGAGCATATAAAATTAGATATGGTATATTTTTGGCATGAAAGCTGTTCGACAGAGTCATAATTCAGATTGCACCAAACTATAAGGCGCCGCTAATTTAAAGTTACGACAAGATTTTATTTTTGAAAAATTTATACATATTAGGATTCAGCGCAACGAGCTGATCACGACTATAATACTTTTATCTTGAGAAAACTTCATCTTCAGGGAGAAAAACGCGAAACATTCAGAGGATCCCAAAAATCGGAAAAATGTGTACGTCAAAGAAAGTGCTTCTAGTTTTTTCCAATAAAATTCTGTAGGTTTGAATTCCTTTTTCTTGAATCTGCATTTGAAACTGCCTATGAAAATGTATTTTTAAGCTTATCCCATATCACGTTGACTGTGGAAAAAATAATCTATAGGTACGTCTTAAAAATGAGCACCTCCGTTCTCAAACGTATCTAGTTTTTTGTGTTGATAGCTATACCATTCATTCATATGCCATCAGAATTGCCGTCAAACGTAGATTAAAAGTATAACTTCCTGTTTTCGAAATTCATCTCTGTTGCTGAGATAATTCATTTCTTTAAATCAGGGGCGAAAAAGTCGGAAATCTATCTGTAATTCTCAATTTTCTCCAGCAGAACTCAACTTCTATGCAATAAAACCATCATATTCGGAATCAGGATCAAAAATTGAATCGACTGATGTGTATTTTGAAATTCTTAGTTGATATCCATTTTCTGGTGAAAATCTCGATGATTGATGAGGATATAGATACACATCAGTCGATTCAATTTCAAAAATAGAATCTTGTCGTACCTTTGAATTAGCGGCGCCTCATGATTTTCTAGGTGGCTAAGCTGTACTACCCCCTCCCCCCCATAAGAGAAGCCTCCGGGGCTTCTAAACTGTCCAAGCGTTCAAAATTTTCAGGGAGGGCTACTATTACGACTTTCGTACAAAAATTTCCAGAAAAAAAGGGGATTTTGAATTTCGATGCTCTTGCCTTTCTAATCACGGTAACCTCAGTTAATCTGAAAAAAATCTTTTTCGAGATAAAAAATGTAAATTTTATTCCTTTCCTTTTTTTACACTCGACATCACACTTTCCTTTGTAAACGAAAGAAACACATAGTTCAATTTCCTTAACGGCATGTCGTTAAGTCCATCATCTTCATGCTCTTTCTTGCGATACGTATTACGAAAATATAAACGGATTGCGACATGTTCTTTAACTGGAAAAAAGAAACAGACTGCTCTCCAATATGTCCTTTTCTTCATTAATTATCATAAAAACAAGTCTTTCTGTTACTCCAAAAGTCGAACGAAATGAGAAAATAAAAAGATATGTTCTGCAAAGAACATGTTCATTTCTTAGTTGACTAAGAAATTGACTAAGCAGTATCTGTGATAAAAATGGCGGACAAAGATCATCGAGTTGACAGTCTGATTAGAGTCAATGTGATTTTCATGATTCGAAGTGCGATGCGTACACACATAAAGACTAATTAAATTGGTGATTTTCATCGATATTCGTTTGCCATTTATTGGCGAAATTATGACAGATTATCCAGAAGGATATGATGAGATTATGGAAAAAGTTTTGGGTAACATAAAGCTTCATTTGTGCAAGTTGGCTGTGCAAGAACCAATGAGCAGTTTCCACAACAAGTATTGGAAACACTTGTTTTGTCCGATAGGGATCGGAGTAGTCGCGTTTTATTCCGAATTGAAATTTGACTGTGGAATAGAAATTATCAAACCGGTTGAAAAAGAAATTCGATTGTCTTCAATGTACACTTCTACAGCACCAGCTCTTGGCATAAAAGATATTTTCAACACTTATATGCCGGACACTTGGCTTCGACTATAATTTGCAGAATTCTGGAAGCAAAAATTCTATTTTTTGTGCCAACGGCAAGAATTGTGAATTGAATATAGAAGAAAATCAAATTTGATGCAAAATTCTACAAACTTCAGCTAATTCCGAATAATTTCGGAAATTCGAAGTTGCTCAATGTTCAGTTTTACACTTCTTGGCTTTGAGAAAAAAAATCCCACTTAAAATTCGCATGAGCCTTCAATTCGATAATCAATGAGAATTGGGCTACTACGTTCTTTTTTGTAATTTTCAATCAGAATTGAAAATCTAGCAGGCGCTGTATAAAGCCTACAATTCCGTTTAATTCGTTCGCTACGCCATCGAAACGCATTGGTTCAGTGATGGGAAAAAGGTGTTTCTAAAAATCGTGCACCGGATGTGTACATTGAAGAGAAGGGCGTCATCGGAGGATTCGAATGTACACAAGAAGGTTTTATCGATAAATTTTGAAGCATAGGAACCTTCTCCAAGTAGCATAAGTATCTTGCCTCAAAGTTTGATGATGGGATAGAAAGAAAAATACGGTGGGAACCTGAAGTTGTTGTCTTAGACATGTACCGGTTAAAAGTTGATGGTGCTTTTTTTCACTTCCGAAGAGATGTTAAAACCCTCACAAATACGTTCATATTTCTCACGAATGGCATCAAACAAAAAACTGCTTGAAATTGATAAAGGTGATAAAGAAGTTCGGAAGGATGATCAATCAGTAGAGAAACATAAATTTATACATCCAGTGAGAAAAGCTATCGCAACTATATGTAGAGCTCACGGTTGCATCATTTTATAGCAGGCGCTTTGAAGTATTTCCGGTAACAGTCTTGCGTCTTGATCACATGTTGTTACCGAGATGAACGTGTTGAACAAGGACGAAGAACAGGGGTCGGTAAGAGGCAAATCGGACCTTCTCAGATCAATCTCATATTCACAGGTATGATGTAGTTTTTCTCCGTGATTAAAACTAGCATCTTAAAAAATGCATTTTCATGGCCTGGATGTCCAAACACTAGAAATACTAACCCCAACCTCCACAAATCCATAAATCAACAGCGTTCATCGCTTATATTGTCCATCCAATTTATCGTTAACCACTCCACTTTATATATCATTCGATATGTCGATTTTTTCTTATAGTGGTACATAAAAATGATTATAGTTTCTTCTACAGGGAGAAATTAGACATAGTTTGTATATAAAAAGATGCAGAATTGAAAGGGCTATAGAATGAGTTATAACGTTTTCTTTTATATCTTAAGTTTGTTAGATTTATTGGTAAAAGAATGAAAGACGTATTTTTCGTGTTTTCTCAATAATTTTGTGACGTGGGGCCTTTCTTAAATTTAATGCTGTTTGATGAAACAGTGCTGTAGAGAGCTCAGATGGATCTTGATTTGCTCAGAAGCAGTACACGATGAGGCTGTTACAAAAGAAGTTTCGTTCGAATTCGTGGACTTAGGTTTCTAGGGTTTCGCTTTTCTAAAAAATCGACATATCTGGTCAGTATTTATCCAATACATTTATGAAGACAAACTTTTGAAATAATATCTTATTGCTCATTTTGTAGCCCGTGAAATTCTCTATCGAATGATATATAAAGTGGAGTGGTTAACGATAAATTGGATGGACAATATAAGCGATGAACGCTGTTGATTTATGGATTTGTGGAGGTTGGGGCTAGTATTTCTAGTGTTTGGAAACCCAGGCCCACTTTGTTCTCAATATTATATATATATCATTTTGTAGCCCGTAAAATTCTCTGTCGAGTGGTATACGGTAGCTGAGGTTTTCTTTGAGCAAAAGGGAAGAAATGAGGAAAATACTCTAAATAGAGTTCATCTAAGGGGGAAAAGTTTGGATGCAAAATTTTTACCAAGGGGGAGTGGGCTGAAAATGGATCTTTTAAGGTGCTAGTTCTAATCACGGAGAAAAACTACATCATATCTGTGAATATGAGATTGGTCTGAGAGGGGGCCGATTTTGCCTTTTATCGACCCCCGTTCGTTGGTCCAACTTCAAAATTTTGTAGGGCTTTTCGCAAAGTTTCAATATCTCGGCCAAATTTAGAGTTAGAGTTTAGAGAACCTGGGTTTTTCGCCAATGTTCATCGAAATGTTGGCTTCGCAAAGGTTCTCTATTGATAGAAAAATCTGGAATACTCACTACTGAACCACATAGGTCTTGGATTTTAAAAAAATGATCCTTAAATAGAGACGGAAAGAATTCGACCACATAAAATTAACTCTGAATAACTAGACTCACGAAATATCAATTTTCCATTGGTGTTGCTATCATACTTTCATAAAAATGGTAAACACTTCTCTCTATATTCCTTCTATTTCACATTCACGAAAAATCAAAAATGTCTTGACCAGTTCCTAACATCCTTCATTCATGTCATCTTAATCTACTACACTTCTTCATTGATTACATCATAACTACTACATACCAGCAACATGAGTCTCAGAATATAATATAAAATGACATGCGACACCATAGGTATATATCTCTATGTCAAGAAATCTCATTATATTCGTATATTTATCTCATGTCATTGCTCGGCACTGGTGTTAACCGTAACAAAGTATGACGTGACCGTACGAATGTAATAAGAGTTCTGAGCATAGAGATACATACACATGTAATGTTAGGTTATGGTTAGCCATCACATGATCGCGCTGGATATAATGAGGGCTATTAATAACGGGGTGGAGGCCCTTGTTCTCTCCGCTTACAGCCAAGCAATATAACGCGTGGGGCAGATTAAATTGCCGATTTTTGATAGGTTGTTCTCTCAATGTACACTGAATCAGAAAGTTTCATTCAGATGTTAAAAGACAGAATTTTATGTAAATTTTATTAATATTTTCTTTTTCAAAATAATCATTTGTCGTTTTTTGCAGCATCAAAAGTACTGGATACCACAAAAACATCACTTGTTAACACTACAAAATCAGAAACTTTTGAAGATGAAGTTTTGCCCAGTTAGATTAAGTTCAAAAATTTCTTACTGGTAGTAAGAGATGTAGAATATTTAGTGATATGTTTTATAAGCTTAGTTGTTTCTCCTTCGACGAATACCAAATCTCAAGAAGACATCTTCGGCCAACGGTATCGTAATCTTCTTTGACAATTTTGTCAAAACTCGGGCTTAAGAAACTAATCTGTTAATATCAACAGATGGGGAATTTCAAGCTCTACAAAATACCCTTCCTTATAAAAGCTGATCTGTTTTTCTAACCCCACTTAATTTTTGATGATTGATGATGATAAAATTAAGACTTATTTATGAGACTTGTT